AAAAAATTTCCTGTATTATCTTTGAGTCAATGATAAAATGTAGACATAAATTAAATAATATTTGAAACAAATCAAAATGGAAATAAAACATACCTAAACCTTTGTAATACAGCAGAAGTGGTATTAACATGGAAGTTTATAATGTTAAATGCCTACATCAAAGTAATAAAAAGTCTGCAAATTAACAACCTACCATCACTACTCAATGAACTAGAAAATGAGAACAAACCAAACCCAAATCTAGTAGAAGAAAATTAACAAACATGAGAGCAAAAGCACATGAAATTTAGAGCAAATAAACAATATTAAAAAGCAATGAAATAAAGTTTGTTATTTAAAAAAATAATGAAGATTGACAGAACTCTCTCTAGAATAACCATGAGAAGAAGAGAGATGATTCAGATAAACACACTGGAAATGAAACATGAGTCATTATAACTGATATCACAGAAATAAGATAACTGGAGATTACCATGAACAACTCTATGCTAATAAACTAGAAAAAGTAGAGGAAATGGATAAATTTCTGGAAACATACAACCTCCTAAGATTGAAACAGAAAAAAATAGAAATCATGAACAGATCAAATATGACTAGTGAGATTGAGTAATAATAATATTTTTAAAATCCCAACAAAGAAAGGCCCAGAACCAGATGGATTTATAGCTCAGTTCTAACCGACGTACACAGCAGAACTTATTCCAGGCCTACTGAAACAATTTTTTTAAAAAAAATCAATACGGAAAGGATTATTTCTATCTCATTCTATGATGCCAATATCAACTAATTACCAATGCCAGTTATAAACATATGAAAATAAAAGAGAAAAAAAATCTACAAACCAGTATCCCAGATAAACATAGATGTGAAAATCCTCAACAAAATTTTAACTAACTGAATCCAACACCACATCAGAAAGATTATATATCATGATCAAGTTAGTTTTATCCCAGAGATGAAAGGATGGTTCAACATACACAAATCAATAAAAGTAATTCACCACGTAAACAGAATTAAAAGCAAAAGCCATACGAGCATCTCTATAGAAGCAGAAAAAATTAATAGAATTCAGCATAACTTTATTATAAAAAGTCTTTTAAAACTAAGCATAGAAGAAACATACCTCAAAGTGATAAAAACCATATATAACAAGCCCATAGTCAACCTTATACTGAATGGGGAAAAGTTGAAAGCATTCTTTCTAAGAACTGAAACAAGACAAAAATGCCCATTTTCAATACTCCTTTTCAACGTAATACTGGCAGTTGTAGCCAGGGACGTCAGGCAAGAGAAAGAAGTAAAATGCATCTAAATTGAAAAATAAGTCAAATTATTTCTGTTTGCTGATGATATGACCTTATACACAGAAAATTTTAAAGATTCTACCCAAAAGACTCCTAGATTTGATAAGTGAATTCAGTAAAGTTTCAGGACACAAAATCAATGTACAAAAACTAGTAGCATTTCTATTTACCAGTAATAATCAAGCTTAGAGTCAAATCAAGTAGTCAGTTTGTTAGCATTTACAGTAGCTATAAAAATGAAATACCTGGAATGCATTTAACCAAGGAAGTGAAAAATACCTACAAGGAAAACTATCAAACACTGATTAAAGGAATTTGAGATGACACAAATACATTGAAAAACATGTTATGCTCTTGAGACAGAGGAATGAACATCATTAAAATGGCTATATTATCTAAAGCAATCTACAGATTCATTTCAATTCTCATCAAAATACCAATGTAATTTTTCACAGAATTAGAAAAAAATCATAAAATTCATATGGAACCACCAAAGAGCTTGCATAGCCAAAGCAATCCTGTGCAAAAGGAACTAAGTTGGGTGCATCACATTATCTAATTTCAAATTATACTACAAAGCTATAGAAACTACAAAAGCGTGGTATTAGCATAAAAATAGACACATAGATCAAAAGAACAGAAGAGAGAACACAGAAATTAAGCCACATACCTGCAGCGAACTGGTCTTTGATAAAGTCAACAAAAGATAGACTCTGAAAAGGACATCGTAATCAAAAAGGGTTCTTGGAAAATTGAGAGGCCATACACAGAAGAATAAATCTGGACCTGTATCTCTCACCATATACAAAAATTTTCACACATGTATTAAAGGCTTAAATGTAAGACCAAAACTACAAAAATACAGGAAGAAAACAAGAAACAGTATTCTGAACATCAGTTTTGGCTAAGATATCATGATAAAGACCTTAATAACAAATGCACAATACCAAAAATAGACAAATGGGACTTAATTAAACTAAAGTGCTTCTTTACAACAAGAGAAATTATCAACAAAATAAACAGACAACGTACAGAATGGGATAAAATATTTACAAACAATACATCCAATAAAATATTAATAACTAGGTTCCACAAAGAACTTAGACATCTCAACAACAAAAAATAATTCTGCTAAAATGTAGGCAAATGGAATAAACAGGCTTTTTCAAAAGAAGACATACAAATGGCCAACAAACGTATAAAAAACTGCTTAACATTGCTAATCAATGAAATGCAAATTAAAATTTTGATTAGCTATTATATTACACCACAGTAGCTATTATTCAAAAGTCAAAAAATAACAGATATGGGAGAGTGTGGAGAAAAAAGGAAGCACTCATAAGCTTTAGTAGGAATATTAACGAGTATAACTTGTAATGAATACAGTAGGTAGAGTTCTCAAAGAATTAAAAATAGAATTACCATTCTATGCAACAATTCCACTACTGGTTATCTACCCAAAAGGAAATAAATTTTATACAAAAGGGTACCTACACTCATGTGTTTATAGCAGCATTGTTCACAACAGAAAATATATAGAATGAACTAAAGTGTGAATCAATGGATTATTGGATAAAGAAAATGTGGTGTATATATACAATGGATTGCACTCAGCCGTTAAAAAAGAGAATAAAGTCATTTTTCTTTTCCAGTAACATCGATGAAACTACAGGCCATTGTCTTGAGTGAATGGTTCGGAAACAGAAAGGCAAATACCACGTTTTCACTTATAAGTGAAAGCTAAATAATGTATAGAACTGGACATAAGGAGTAAAATAATAGACATTGGAGACTCAAAAGGATGCGAGGGATCAGTGGGGATGAAGGATGAACAATTACTTAGTGGATACAACGTACATTATTAGGTTGGTGGCTACACTGAAACCCTAGACTTCACCATTATGCAATATATCCATGTAACAAAAGTACTTCCTCCTAAATTATAAATATTAAAACAAAAACACAAACACCTCTTTTGTTCACCTGACCTCCATAAGCCACTATTCTAACTATAGACTATAGTGTCATTTTAGGTCTCCTGGCATTAGTATCAGTTCAGAACCTATGTACAATATTCTCCAAAACTTCTGATTATTTTTCCCTAATTGTTCCATGCCAAAGATTGACATTATATGTTGTTGGGCATGTGGTGAGACCCATTCTTCCCTTCATTCAAGGGGTGTGAGTCTGTAAACTGGCTCAAGCGTGGGAATTGATTGAAGGGCCATGACTCTGTTTTATGTTACAAGCTAGAATTTTGATCAATTGACCTAGGACTCCTCTGCTTATACAGATTTAGTAAGAATATAATGGACTTATTATCTGTCTCACTACTAGAAACGTGCTTAACTAACCAATGTCATAGGTCTGTATCAGTCAGATTATTCTGATTGCTGCTTTGACTCTTCTGCTTACCTAGTTTTTGTCAGTTAAGTGCTGTCACTTGGCCCCTGCCACTTGGGAATCGAATTATTTCTATTAAATTTATTTTATTAGTTCAATGCTATCAATCCTTCTTGCAATTTCTGACCTACAGAGAAAAGTGATCTTCAAAGATGATAGGGTTCCCACAAAAATTTATTTCTCATAATTGTGGCTAAGAATTGTTCCCAGTACCCTCCCAAGGTGGGGAAGAAGGTCTTAAATGATAAATATCCCTAAGAATTTGGATTCTTTCCTCTACAGTAGGTCAAGGCAGGACTGGAATTTCAACTTCATTTAGTGTAGGACACCTTTTCGTCTATGTTTTTCTAAACTTTTTTAGAGTTTTTCTGACACACTGAGCTACAACACTAAATCCAGACTCTCTCCTTTGTGGGCCTATATCAATATATTTGGCCTGTTTCAGGTTTGTGTTTCTTCCACGACTATCCATACTTTTAATATCCATTGTCATGCATATTCCCTGGATTTATGTCTATATAAATTAGAAAAAAAAAAAAAAAAACATGACCTGATGAGACTTGAGTCTAGTTATAGGTCTAGAAGCAAAGAAGGGTGGTCTGGTGGGTCCTAACAATGATCAGCAGTGTCTTACTTCTGCTTCTTCTCAGAGCTTAAGTTGTATTTTATTTCCATGCATATAATCTCTTGCTCACAGGTACCCAGATATCTGCAGTAACCCAGCAATTCATTTGTGCAATAGCTTTCACCACTGCTTTAAGCATTTTCCAACCTACAGTTTACACTATACTGAATTCTAGTCAGTATTCCAAGTCAGAAAAGACAAACCAGTTTCTCAGACTGTCCCCAGAGAGGCTAGAACTTTACAAGCAAGTTCCATTCATATTCTTTCATTCCAATGGAGGAACAAATAATATGATGGATTCTTTCAGACACTCAGTGCTGTGTCAGAGAGGCAGTGGGACAAGGACAAGCAGAAATGACATGAAATTTTCTAGCATTTTGAGTGTAGCTTTTTGTGTTTTTTTGTTTTGTTTGTTTGTTTTTGGCATTTCCGTGGTTGCTTCTTAGCTTGTTTCTAGAGTTCTCACAAAACTACTTTGCTCTATATCTGGTGGGGTTTTTTTGTTTGTTTGTTTTTGTTTTGTTTTGTTTTGTTTTGTTTTGTTTTGGTGTTTCCATGGGGCAATGAGGGCCTGGAGCTTTCTGGTCTGCTATCTTGCTGATGTCACTCTTCAGTAGTATCTCCTCTTCTAATCATGCTTGTCTATTTTTATATCTTTCTTTTATAAGGTTGTGGTTCACCTTGAAACTATTCTAGGAGCCTCAGTTCAACATGTTAAACTGAAGAAAATGAAGTACTCTTTTCAGTTGTGGATCACAATGATGTCAGCAAAGGGACATGATGGGAAGGTATGTTTGCCTCTTCCTTTCCTTACTTTATTCTTTGTGTAAACATTCATTGAGCTTCTATTGTGGGCCATATGTTAGAGGTGTAGGGAAAAGAAACTCCTGAAAAAATAAGTAAAATAGTAAAATATTTAAAGAAAGCACAGTTTGGTGAATGCTTTTCTAGCATAAGCATATATGGTTGTGTGATCACACAGAGTGTGCCCATTCCTATATGGAAGTCAACGAAGGCTTCTTGATGGAGGAGTTGCAGTCTCCCAAATCTTGAATGATTTGGAAACCTTAGCCAGGTAGAGAAGAGATAAAGATTATGCCAGGCAGAGGGGAAACCACAGCATGAACAAGGATATAGGGGAATGAGGTATGTTGTGTTCTGGGTACTGAGAACATGTAAGTTTCAATAAAGCATAAAGTGATTAGGTAACTTCAGTTGTCAAGTTCCAGACTGATACAGGTACTTGTGAAAGAAGCTTTCGTTATGCCAGGTTTTTTCAGGCTTGCTGAAGACTTTAAATATGAACAATTTGAGAAATATAAGATAAATTCAACATTCTGGAGAATTTAACTTTTGTGAATATAGGAATGTTTTCTGCCAATGGGAATATTTGTGTTAGAGCATGACACATCCAAATTTGAAGTGCAGGTTACCTCCTAGTTTTGTTATCTTGGGCAAGTTACTTAGCTATTCTGCAGTTTACTCATACATAAAGTTAAGCTATTGATACCTATGTTACAGATTTATTTTGTGGATTAACAATATTTTTTATAAGGTATCTCACATAGAGTAGCCCTTCCATAAGGCAGAACTCACACGATCCCCTCTACCTTAAAAAATAGTTAATTTTTAAATTTTTTAAAATAGACAGTTTTCTTTGTAGAAACACTTTGGAAATCTCTCAGAACAAAACGTTTATAAAAATTCACAAGGTGAGGATGTTTGGCTCTGAGATGAAAGTTTATAGTCAGAACTTTAGATGAAAACTAAAGCTGAAATCAAAAGCAAAAAGTTTATTTTGAGTTCACTTCCAGAAGACACTGTCTTATAATTTGGATAAACTGTTAACATACATGCTGACTGTCAAAAATGGTCCTGTAATTACAAATCTGGAAAAAAAAGAGAAGGGAAAAATCTGTTCTCCTCTTACTTTGAATCATGATGCCAGATTTAGAGGTGGTGGTCATAACCACTTTACCATGTTGCTCATTAATAATCACTTAAAATAGGTAGAAAAGAGATGTGGCCATTTTCTAAACCATACTGTTTAATGTTAATGTAGCTCTTTTTTATTACAGACCTAATTTAAAATTTTTAAATTTTGTGACTATATAATAGTTGTATGTATTTATGGGGTATAGATGTTTTGACACATACATACAATGTGTGATTATGAAATCAGTGTAACTGGAGTATCTGTCAGTTTAAACATTTATTATTTCTTTGTGTTGTAACATTCCAATTCCACTCTCTTAGTTGTTTTATAATATACAACAAAGTACTTTAAACTGTAGTCACCCAATTGTGCTATCAAATACTGGACTTTATTCCTTCTCTTTTTATACTCAATAATCATCCCAACTTCTCTTGCAGTTTCTTTTGCATTTGCACTATAACATTTATTTCTTTCTATACTATATCTTAAAAATGATTGTAGTTATTATCATAGTCATATATTCAAAAACAAAATTCAACACTCAATAAAAGTAAATTCAAAAATAAGAAGAATCCGCTATTCCCCTGGTTGCTCAGAAATCAGTGTATCGATGCAGAAAGCCTGAAAAAGAAATGTACTATAACACCCTCATATTAACACAATAGACTCTGAGCAAAAGAAATCTTCACAATGCCAGATAAGGAAATCAAAATATTGACTTTAAAGAGGCTTAATGAAATTAAAGTGATTTTTTTTTTTTTTTTTTTTTTTTTTTTTTTTTTTTTTTTTTTTTTTGTGACAGAGTCTCGCTCTGTTGCCTAGGCTAGACTGCAGTGGTGCAATCTTGGCTAACTGCAACCTCTGCTTCCCTTGTTCAAGTGATTCTCCTGCCTCAAACTCCTGAGTAGCTGGGGCTACAAGCACACACCACTACGCTTGACTAATTTTTGTATTTTTAGTGGAGATGGGGTTTCACCATTTTGGCCAGGCTAATCTCAAACTCCTGACCTCAGGTGATCCAATCACGCTGGCTCCCTAAAGTGCTGGGATTACAGGCATGAGCCTCCACATCTGGCCCTTAAATGGAAATTTGTAAAGCAATACAAAGAAATTAGAATATCAATTTAGGCTGTTAATATGAAATTACTAAGAGGACAGATTTTCTTAAAAAAAAAAGTAATAATAACAGACATTTTGGAACTTATAAACTCATTGAAGGGGTTACAAAAACATTCCAAAGACCAAGCAGAAGGAAGACTCTCAAAATGTGAAGACACATCTTTTGAAGTAATCTAGTCAAACAAAAATAAAGACAAATGAACAAAGCCCTTAATATGAGTGTGCAAAAATAACAATACTTACAATTTGTTGGTATTACTGGCGTAGAAAGAAAGGTTTAAAAAAAGTTTAGAAATCCTATTTAAGAAAATTATTTATAGAAGCATCTCAAGTGCAGCAAGAGATTTAGACATCCAGATATAGTAGTCCCAACAATCCCAAGACAAATACATTGCAAAAAGGCATATTAAATCAGAATACCTAAAGTCATTATAGAAGAAATACTTTCATGATCAGCAAGAAAAATGGATCTAGTCACCTATGAAAGAAACCCCATCAGACTAAGAATGAACTTCTTAGCAGAAACTTCACAGGTCAGAAGAAAATGGAATGGGATTTACAAATTGCTGAAAGAAAAAATATAATTAAAAATTTTATATCCAGCATGATTAACCTTCATAAATGAAGGAGAAATAAAGTCTTTTCCAGACAAGCAATTGTTGAGGGAATTTATCACCACTAGACCAGACCTAAAACAAATGCTCAAAAATGTCCTTGACATGGAAACAAAAGGTATATGTTCATGATTATGATAACTCATTAACATATAAAACTCAATGGTCTTATAAAACAATCACACAAAGGAGGAAGAAAAGTCAAATTGTGGGGGGCGGAGCAAGATGGCTGAATAGGAGCAGCTCCAGTCTCCAACTCCCAGCGCGAGCGACACAGAAGACCGGTGATTTCTGCATTTTCAACTGAGGTACTGGGTTCATCTCACTGGGGAGTGCCGGACGATCAGTGCTGGTCAGCTGCTGCAGCCCGACCAGCGACAGCTGAAGCAGGGCGAGGCATTGCCTCACCTGGGAAGCGCAAGGGGGAAGGGAGTCCCTTTTCCTAGCCAGGGGAACTGAGACACACAACACCTGGAAAATCGGGTAACTCCCACCCCAATACTGCGCTTTAGGAAACAGGCACACCAGGAGATCATATCCCACACCTGGCCGGGAGGGTCCCACACCCACGGAGCCTCCCTTGTTGCTAGCGCAGCAGTCTGTGATCTACCGGCAAGGCAGCAGCAAGGCTGGGGGAGGGGCGCCCGCCATTGCTGAGGCTTAAGTAGGTAAACAAAGCTGCTGGGAAGCTCGAACTGGGTGGAGCTCACAGCAGCTCAAGGAAACCTGCCTGTCTCTGTAGACTCCACCTCTGGGGACAGGGCACAGTAAACTAAGACACACAGACACCTCTGCACAGACGCAAACGACTCTGTCTGACAGCTTTGAAGAGAGCAGTGGATCTCCCAACAAGGAGGTTGAGATCTGAGAAGGGACAGACTCCCAGCTCAAGCAGGTCCCTGACCCCTGAGTAGCCTAACTGGGAGACATCCCCCACTAGGGGCAGTCTGACACCCCACACCTCACAGGGAGGAGTACACCCCTGAGAGGAAGCTTCCAAAGCAAGAATCAGACAGGTACACTCGCTGTTCAGAAATATTCTATCTTCTGCAGCCTCTGCTGCTGATACCCAGGCAAACAGGGTCTGGAGTGGACCTCAAGCAATCTCCAACAGACCTACAGCTGAGGGTCCTGACTGTTAGAAGGAAAACTATCAAACAGGAAGGACACCTACACCAAAACCCCATCAGTACATCACCATCATCAAAGACCAGAGGCAGATAAAACCACAAAGATGGGGAAAAAGCAGGGCAGAAAAGCTGGAAATTCAAAAAATAAGAGCGCATCACCCCCGGCAAAGGAGCACAGCTCATCGCCAGCAACGGATCAAAGCTGGACGGAGAATGACTTTGACGAGATGAGAGAAGAAGGCTTCAGTCCATCAAATTTCTCAGAGCTAAAGGAGGAATTACGTACCCAGCGCAAAGAAACTAAAAATCTTGAAAAAAAAGTGGAAGAATTGATGGCTAGAGTAATTAATGCAGAGAAGGTACTAAACGAAATGAAAGAGATGAAAACCATGACACGAGAAATACGTGACAAATGCACAAGCTTCAGTAACCGACTCGATCAACTGGAAGAAAGAGTATCAGCGATTGAGGATCAAATGAATGAAATGAAGCGAGAAGAGAAACCAAAAGAAAAAAGCAGAAAAAGAAATGAACAAAGCCTGCAAGAAGTATGGGATTATGTAAAAAGACCAAATCTACGTCTGATTGGGGTGCCTGAAAGTGAGGGGGAAAATGGAACCAAGTTGGAAAACACTCTTCAGGATATCATCCAGGAGAACTTCCCCAACCTAGTAGGGCAGGCCAACATTAAAATCCAGGAAATACAGAGAACGCCACAAAGATACTCCTCGAGAAGAGCAACTCCAAGACACATAATTGCCAGATTCACCAAAGTTGAAATGAAGGAAAAAATGTTAAGGGCAGCCAGAGAGAAAGGTCGGGTTACCCACAAAGGGAAGCCCATCAGACTAACAGCAGATCTCTCGGCAGAAACTCTACAAGCCAGAAGAGAGTGGGGGCCAATATTCAACATTCTTAAAGAAAATAATTTTCAACCCAGAATTTCATATCCAGCCAAACTAAGTTTCATAAGTGAAGGAGAAATAAAA